GGCAGGGAGGCAGCTCCCTGGCCTGGACCAGCACCCCCAACCACACAACATTTGTCTGGTGGGCCAAGGCAGCGTGGCTGGTGTGCTTGTCCCTTTGAGGTGCTGCTTGGTGACCCCAAGCAAGCAGGACACTTCTCTGTCTCCAGGAGCCCTGTGAGCACATAAGGTGTTCAATGACTGACATGGCCCACGCAAGGTTGGATTTTATTTTACCTTTTTTTAAATTTCTCCCTGAAAAAGACAGGCTCTTACACACTTGAGGCCACACTATCCATGAAAATAGAGTCACTTTTGTGTAAATGGGAAAGCTAGCTTTGTGTTTTCATCCCTTCCTTTCCCCCTCCATTTGTTCAAGAGAGATGAGCTTGAAACACTTCAAGTTACTGGTCCCAAATAGCCTGGGTTTTTTTGCTGTCTGCTTGGTGAGTTAAAAGCATGGGCTAGAGCCACACTGGAAGAGGGCTTTCTCACTGGTGTAAACATTCAGAGGCTGGAGATTATACTCTCCTAGTTCTGCATTCCAGTGACTGACATCTGCTTATAATGGACAAAAAAAAAAAGTTGCCTAATTTATAATTACTGAGCTCCAGAACAAGTCTATTTGCTTCCCTAATTAAGAGCATCAATGTGGATTAGCAAGTTAAAACCACTCAGGCAGCAGCTAGAAGCTTTAAAATAAAACTCCCCAGAAGTGGGTTTTAGTACAGTCACACTTGTATTTATTTTTTTCAGAAAACATCCCAGAGAAGTGGACCCCGGAGGTGAAGCATTTCTGCCCAAACGTGCCTATCATCTTGGTAGGAAACAAGAAGGACCTGAGGAATGACGAACACACAAGACGAGAGCTGGCCAAAATGAAGCAGGCAGGTTCCTTTCTGATAGTCCTGGAGAAGAAAGTGTGTAGTGGTTGTACCAGAGCTTTAAACAGGCATCTGCAGCTACTGCCAGCTCCCTATGGACTGCTTAATGAACACTTAGCCATGGCAGAAACCAGAAAGTATTTTTTTACTCTTAATTGAGTGCTTTTTTTTCATATTTGGAAATGTAATTTTTAGAAAAAGGTATTCTCAACAGTGAAAATGGCTATATTGGATTACTGAGTCAGCTGCAGTCCGTGCTGGAGAGCTGTGTACCTGAAGTAGACAGATTAATTAGGAGACATCAGCACATCAAGTGCTTGCACGCATGGGTGGTTGTTTATTTTGTATGTTAAGGATGGGAAAGGAAACAGTTTTATTGATAGGTGTTTTGAAGTGATAACCACATGTGCTGTAGCTTGTTCCTGAGCCTATCACCAGGTTTCATTTTCAGATCATGTTTGAAACCCCCAGCTTGGGTTTGGGACTGCACATAGTCTGCTCTGGAATTTTTGCTTGTGTTGCGTAGTGTGCTTGGTTTTATACAAAGACTGAGGTATTAAGTTGGGGGCTTATTCACAGGCTTTTGTTACTATTGTGGCAAAGAGTTGCATGTGTTTTGTCTGAAATCTACTATCTTGCTCAAGTTTCAAAGGGTCTTGTGGCCTAGAAGCTCCGAGGTATTAGAGGACTGATCATGTCCTCAAGCACTGGTGCAGTATGCAAATATACACACCCAGGCTGCAGCGCATGCTGCATCTTGAGGAAATGGGCAGATGTAAAATAAAATTTACTTAAATTTGGGGGCAATTAATTAACAAATGAATTATGTGCATTTAATCCAAGCATTTCCTTGCCTTTGTTGGGAAGCTGGGTGGGAATGGGAAAGCAGGTGCATGTGGTTTTTGGATTGTTCTCAGCTGTTGCTTTTGTGCTGTTCCAGGAGCCTGTCAAACCCGAGGAAGGAAGGGACATGGCAAATCGCATTGGTGCATTTGGGTACATGGAGTGTTCGGCAAAGACCAAAGACGGTGTCAGGGAGGTTTTTGAAATGGCCACTAGAGCTGCTTTGCAAGCCCGGCGTGGCAAGAAAAAGTCCGGGTGCCTTCTCTTATAAAGTGTGGCCAGGGGAAGATGGCCAAAGCAGCACCCTGCACTTGAGTAATTTTGAAGTGCTGTTTATTAATCTTAGTGTATGATTACTGGCCTTTTTCATTATCTATAATTTACTTAAGAGATTTAAAAATCGAGTCATCTTGCTACCAGTATTTAGAAGCCAACCATGATTTTTATAACAATCTGCATCAAATTCATCTGTGCACCCAAGGTTAACCTCAACATTCCTCTAACAAACCTTTTCTGCACTCACAGGATATGCCAGGCGCTAATTGAAGACAATTCTCTATCTTCTTTCTTCTCTCTAAAAAGAGAAAAAGCTGTCAACACAGAGGATTGGTCTGTAACTACTTTATAACTAACGTCCTATTCTAATTGAGTACAACAGTTACCTGGCTGTATGTGGAATCAAGCGTAGCTTCAGTGCTATCACATTTAGGAAGGTCTGATTTTCATGGCTCAGTGGTGTAAAACATTTAGTTTGAAAAATGTGATCACTCTGAAATGACCAAGTCCCATTCAGCTAAGGAAAAGTGAGGGTTCTGTGGTTTCATGTTAGTTACCTTTTAGTTACTGTGTAATTAGTGCCAGTTTAAATGTATGTTACCAAAAATAAATCTATTTACCCCAGCTTAGATGTAGTATTTTTTGTATAATTGGATTTCCTAATACTGTTACTTGTAACCTCTGCGTTAAGGTGTTCTGGGTTTTTTAAGAAACTGTATTTGAAAATAAAGTCCGATGGAAAGCAGCTGATCCTCTTCCCCTGTTCATTTATAAGAGTCTGACCCATTTGAATCATTTGAGTGGTCTGCACACCCAGGAGTTTTTTCCATGACGTGCCGTAGGGATGAGAACAGACAGCCTGCTCACACTCGAAGCTTCTGAACTGTTCAGTTGCCTTAAGTTCATTGCTGGACCCAGTTTCAAAACTTTAAAAAAAAACAAAACTTTTTGTGTAAGTTTGGTTACCATGTAGTGATCAGACTCGTAACCTGTGAACTTCTTGCTGTTCTGCAGCCAACTAAACTCTTTCTGTATTTTCATTTTTCCAACAACTAATAGAATAAAGGCAGTTTTCTAAGCTCCCTGTATCCTGGTGTCTGTATTCCTCACTCTGGGTTTTTGGCCCAGCATCTGGCAGCCTGCATCAGAAATACCATTTTTGACACAGCTGTGATAGGATTCACTGAGCAGTTACAAGTACTTGAATACTTACTTTTGTTTCCCAGTAAGTGATGCCCATCCACTGCTCAGAGCCATTTCTGGATGCTGCGGCAGAACAAGAGATGGAATCCATTGCCTACCTCACCCTGCGGGGAGTGGCAAAGCTTCCCAGGGGCTGCTTTTGATACCCCAACCAGATGAGAGTGCATCAGTTGAGTTGAATTTGCTGGGTTTGAGCATGAGAATAGACGAGAGAGGAGGTTATATAGAAGGTGAATGTAGAAAGAAGGGAGGAGAAGACAGCATGTGGTGTGCAGCATGCTGGTGTGCATTGCTGTATGCCCCTTGTGCTGCACGGAAGCACGTGTGAGATGTGCACAGCAGCATGTTTGCACAATAGATGACTTCAAAGACTGCAAGAAGGGATGGGCTTGAGGTGTGGGCCATTGTGCTGCACCCCCCTTGCAGAGCAGATTGTGTTTCTGCTGGGTGAGAAATGATGGGAAGAGCAATGTGCAGCTCCATGCTTGTGCTGGTCTGTACAGCAGGTGCAATTGAGAGCTGAGAGCCTTTTCCCATGGGGCTGGGCAGGAGGCAGTCCAGTTGCCAATGACAGTCCATGGAAGTGAGAATCTAGCTGCAGATGAATTATGTCCTAAAGAATGGCAATGTTGCCTTCTTTTTTTTCGACAAAGTTCTTGATTCCTTTTCTTGGAACAAAATAAAAAATGGACTCAGGCTGTGAGAGTGCCCTGTGCCTCTGGTCCTTGTCCCCCCCTGCAGCTACAGACATCCCAGCATGAAGTGTTTGGCCAGCCTGGCAGTAATGGAGGCCCCAGCCTCTCCTCTTCCTCTTCTGGGCGCCTGTTCTCTATCTGCAGGGGTGACAGGGTTGCACAGAACAGGAAGTCCCCAACTGCAGCCCAGAAGGATGACATTCTCTGCCCTGTTAAGCTTGCTCACTTCTCTGCAATTCCCTTTTTTGGGGGTTTTGTTGTTGGATTGTTTAGGGGGTGGTTGCAATTGAGTAAAACAGGGTTTTCAGTGTTGCAGAGCTGCTTAATTGCAGTTCTCCATGGTCACAGTTACAGAGCAGTTCTTTAACTGCAGGGGTTTTGAGAAAGGTCTGAATGTTCTTCAGACCCAGCCTGTGGGTTGTGCATCTGCTGACACACCTCCACCCAGAAGTGATTAATTTGTTATCCCAGTTTTAATCTAAGGTCTTTGTCAACCTACAGCACCACCTCCCCATCTTCTCTGTCTAACCAGCTGATGTTAGGTTTCCAGATCTGCTCTGCCTTTCTCCAAGGTCAGACATGATGAAACTGGGCACACAGATGGCCAGACTAGACCTGAGAAATGAGAGCTCAGTGTTCACAAGAGTGATCCAGGCAGGCAAGGTTCTGTGACAGGGGCAGGGGAAAAGTTAGGAGCCAAGTGCCAGCTCCTGGGCCAGGGAGTTCAGTGCCAAAAATGATGAGCAGATGTGGCTAGAAGATGTTTTGTGACTTTTGTGATGACTCACTGTTAATAAAAAGCAGCCTTCTGACCTTGCAGAACAACCATCACTTGTCACACATCTCAAAAGGGGTCCCTTGAGCCCATCTAGCTCCTTGGAAGCTCCTGGCACTCCTCTGGATCCAAGTGCAGCTGGCTCTGCAGTCCAGGCACAGGGCGTAGCTCCATGCCAACAAGGAAGTTCAGCTCACTTTGTTTCCTTAAAACTCACTTGTCAAGGAAAGGAAGCCCTAATCTGCTCTTGTGCCCCACAGATAAACACCCTCATTCAGATGAAATCCCCAGGTCCAGCCTAAGGATTGACTATGCCAGTCTGAGCACGTGTCAAAAGTGGCAGCAGAGATGCCGTGTGGCACTGCCCTCGAGGTCGCCCATGGAAAGAAATTCCTCTTCAAACCACCGTGGGTCCCAGTGCCTAAGAGGCAGGTGAGGAGTCAGCATGGACTATAACTGACAATTTACTCAGAGCAAACTTGACTCTTGTGCCTCTCCTCCTCCTGTCAGCCATTTCCCAGCTGCTCTGATCGCTCTCAGGGCACTTGTGGTTCCTGCTATCAGTGCTGCAACACGCCTGCAACTGCAGGTCCTGAAGATGCACGATAATCAGGCAAGTCCCCAGAACTCACCACAACCAGGAACTGTTCCAGTTCCCAGTTCGGGGGGGCAGGTGCCAAGAGTGGCCCAAAGCAAAATCCTCAGATCCTGTGGTCACCCAGGGAACCTGGACCAGAGATGCAATGTTACACGGTGTCCTGTCAGTGACAGCTGGTGTTTGTGATGAGCCCCTGATACCCAGCGTGAAAGAGAACAGACATCAGTGGAGGGGGCCCTGAGTGCATCCTCCTTGCACTGGGGCCTGGGCTGCTTTGGCTGGGGCCCAGGGCTGATAAGCAGCTGTCTGACCTTGAGCCTGCTGGGAATGGAGCTCACTTGGGGCACACGCCAGCAGGAGCCTTAGCAGGGGCTCCCTGCTCCCTTGTGAGAGCAGAGCTGAAACCCTTGCTCTTGGTGCCTGCTGAGTGGTGCTGCCCCACAGTCCCTGCTGGTCCAACCCGTGGACATCACCTCGAGGCCTGAGCTTGGATCTGCCTCTTCAGGGTGTGCTCTGGAGCACCCCAGCACCAAGCCCTGTGGAAGAGCAGCTCCACGCTGCCTGGGGTAGCTCGCCCAGGGCTGAACCCAGAAGAGCAGCCACTAATGCAGGATTTAAACCTCCCTAAAACAGGCCAAAGCAGTTAAGACAGGGAAAAGCCAGGGATGACAAAACGCAGCCACTGAAGTTAAGGGAGACTTTACCAGCCTCAAAGGAGACTAAAGAAGAGAATTCATGGCCCCTCCTTGGAACCCTCCTGTTGCACAAACTGAGGTGTTTCTGTCCCAAAAGCCACTCTCGGGGGCAGAGGGAGGGGAGGGGTGTCCCGGGAGGGGTGTCCCGGGACGCTGGCACAGCCCCTGCTGCCGCGCTGTCTCCGTACTCGGGTGGTCTTGTTAACGCGCAAGTTTTAGCCCTTGGGACCAGTCCGTGCTTTGCTGATTCTTCTCAGCCTTCCTGAGAACGGGTGACAACCTCCACATGTGTTACCCGCTGCACAAACCACTCCGTTCTGAGTTTTCAATCCACCCTGAGCCAGGAGCGGCGGCCGCTCCGCTATGCGGCCGCGGGGAGCGCAGGGGCGCGGCGGGGGCGGCGGCGGAGGGGCC